TTGTACCCACTAAAACTCCTAAATATTCTCACTTTCTATTTTTAAAGGATATTAAATGTTCTTAATTCAATATTACCCATATTACTTCACCTTTAATGACATAAGTGGTTTTTGACTCTATAATAATAAAGGGGTATAATCGATGACGTGTCTATCCAAATGGAAAGAGCTCGGTTCTTCTTAAATAAGGTCTTGAATTCAAGTTTTATAAATAAAGAAATATACGTTGGAGAGCTTTCCTCTTAACGAGGTTTGATGCGACTTGATTTCGAATTAGTCGAAACCTAATGTGATTATCGGATACTGAAAAATTAGTACTAAAAAAAAAAAATAAAGGGGTATATATACTGTATTTTAACACTTAACCATTGCACCTCTAGATGTTCTCTAAATTGCCTCTTTAATTGTGCAACTCTAAATTATGACAACTAGAAAAGGAAAATAAAAAAAGAAATCAAGTCTTTTATAAAACACTTTGGCTCTGATTTTATTTCCATGGACTTCATTGTTTTTCTTGTAGAAGGAGATAGAAATAAGGTTCTTAAGAAAATATCCTTGTTTCTTGTTATGGAGAACGATCTAATGACTTCAAGGAATGCAACTTTTTGGAAAAAAGCTAGCAATGATGAAAAGGATTTGGTATTATCTAACAATACTTGGACTTTAGTGGATTTGCCTCTAGTTACTAAACCAATAAAGTGCAAATGGATACTTAAAAGGAAATATATATAATACTAATTGTTCTATTAAAACCTTCAAGGCAAGATTAGTTGCCAAGGGTTTTATTCAAAAATAAGGAATCGATTATTATTTTGACACATATGCTGTAGTGGCTAGAATTTCACCCATTAGGGTAGTTAATGCTTTAGCTTTAATTTACAGTTTACATGGGCATCAAATGGATGTAAAAATAGTGATTTACCAAAGGAAGTGTACCTGAAACAACCTGAGGGTTCCGTTCTTCTTGGAAATGAAATGAAAGTTTGCAAGTTGATCAAATCCTTGTATGGTTTAAAACAAGAACTGAAACAATGGCACAATAAATTTGATGTTGCCATTTTATTAAACGGTTTCAAGCATAATAATGCAGACAAGTGTGTCTACTCTCCATATTCGCAAAGGATTATGGAGTAATAATAAGCTTGTATGTGGATGATTTATTAATTTTCAGCACAAACATGCTTGAAATAAATGAAATGAAGAAATATCCGACTTCTGCTTTTTAAATGAAAGACTTGAACGAAACAGACAGTTTTGGGCATTAAGTTTAAAAAACATGTCGAAAGATATGCATTGAATTAATCACCTTATATTGAAAGGATGCTTGAAAAATTCAAGCATCTTGATTTTAAGGAGAAACACTCATCATGACTCATGTTTAAAGTTTCTAGAAAATAATGAGAAACCTTGAGCACAATTGGTAGCTTGATGTTTCTCATGCATTGTACTAGGCCCAATATTGTGTTTGTTGAGTGCAAACTTTCAAGATATACTAGCAAACCTAGCACTATACATTGGAAAACTGTTTGTAGAGTATTTGATTATCTTAAAGGAAATATTGGATTATAATTATTTTACTCTGGTTTTCTAGTAGTGCTATGAGGCTACTTTGATGCTAGTTGGATTACTAGTACACATGACAATAAATCCACATCAAGTTGGATATTCACTCTTGGTGGGGCAGCAATCTCTTGGGCTTCAAAGAAGCAAACAGGTATTTCACATTAAACTATGGAGTCAAAATTTATAGCGTTGGCTGTTGCAGGTAAAGAAGCAGAACGGCTGTGAAATTTGTTAATGGTACTGAGTTGTGGCCAAAACCGATGTTAGTCATTCCCTTAAGACTGCGATTGTGAAGCAATCATTTCAAGAGTCTATAACAATATTTATAATGGGAAGTCAAGACATATAAGTCTAAGATATGATTACATTCAAAAATTGATTTCTAGTGGATGGATTATCATTGTCTACGTGAAGTTTGGAAATAGTCTTGTACATTTGCTAACTAAGGGACGATCTAGAGACATGGTGAAGAATATATCTAGTGGAACGGGGTTGATATTAACTTTTATAATAGATGTATGTGATGGAAACCGAACTTTGAATTAGTTAACACTATTTCTAAAGTTTAATGTTTAATGGGTAATACTAATAACAAGTCACATTAAATATCTGAGATAGCATTGCATTTTATAAAATAGAGCCTAACCATAGGATGATCAATGCTTGACCGTTATGATTGGAGCACTATCAGAAAAATTGGCTATTTTTGACACTGCAATATGTGGTATTAAATAGTCAAAATGTGATACTAAAAAACCAATACATAATGCATAAGTTTCTTTAAATGTTGCAAGTTTAAAATTTTGTTGGAGAAATGATTATTTAAAAAAGTTCAAATATGTAATGTTTTTAAAATTTACTTAAAATTTATTTATAAAATTAATTTTAAGCACTTATTTCTAGCAAAATTTTAAATATGTGAGAGAAGAATAATATTTTTAAAACAAATACTTTTTAAACTTTTACCAAATACTAATAACTTCTATTTCTTAGGACAAAATGTAGGATATGCTTTATCCTATCCATTAACATCACCAAAAGTGGGTTATTACTGGCCAAGATTAATTTTTATCCCATCCTATGATAAGTCATGGTTTCATGCGTATGCTTAATAAATGAGTAGTGATACATGTGATGAAATTATGATCGAAATTTTGGCAATAATTAGTGAAGTATTGTTAGTTATATTATAAAATTAATTGATACATATTAATTATAATATCATAATTTTAATAAATTAAAAAAAAATAATTAAATAATATAAAATTTATTTTTTAATATTTTAAATAATATGTCATATAAGCATATTATTAATTAAATCACATCATTAGTTTTTAAATTTTTTTTTTGTTTATCCTTATTATTAATAAATTATGTAACATATTAAAAAATTTATTAAAAAATTCAAAAAATTTAAGACATTTAAGTAAAAATACTTCTAAGTTTTACTTTCCTTAATAATTAGAAAAAGAGAAATTTGTTTTACAAGGAAAAGTGTTCGTCATATAAAATTATTTAAATATTTTTAAATTTATTTTTATATTATTTTTTTAAAAATATTTAAATAATTTTATAAAACGTGTCGTATCCATTCCGTTATGAGAAGCAATTTACAGTTAAAAAAAAAAAAAGAGAAAAGAAAAACTAGTCCTAAAAGTTTATTCCCTGAGATAAAGTTGAAAGAGCGGCTAGCAAAAAAATTACACCCAACTTAATCGAACGGGAACTAGTTACAACGTGTCGCACCGAATCCTTCCTGCTATTGTCCTGTGCCGTGACCTGAGATTAATCCCTGTAAGAAGCTCCGACTCCTCAAAAGTCTGAAAGTACCGAAGACGAGAAGAAACCCCAAAAGTAGAGTTACGCAATCAAAACCTCAAAAAGATTTCTCAGATCTCTGGCGGCGACAGAAGCAGAGGTTTTTCTGAGACAGAAGGTTTCGTGCGAACACAGACGAGGTATTGGTGAGTGAAACAGAATGTCTCTAACATGCGTGAAAATGTCGGAGGATGTGTGGTTAACTTGTCTCACGCACGCATTGTCGACCGAGACTGAGGAGATTATGGGCCTTCTTCTTGGTGATATTGAGGTGAACTTATTGATTTGATTCATGTTTCCTTTTTTTTTTTTTTTTTTTTGATTTACTGTGTTCTGCAAATTTGTTTGTATATGAGAAATGTGCGTACTAGCTCTGTTCCTCTGGTTACTGGAAATAGGATTGAGATTGTTTGGGTTTTGTGGGTTTTACTTAGTCATCTGAATTGGGATTCTGAAATTCTAGCGGAGAGTATAGTTCCCTACTTTCAAATTCTATGCTATTTAGAGCTTTCCTATATTGTTCACTTCCCTCCTTTCAAGTTATACAATAACATAGGGTTTAGTTACAGTTTATTTACTGGTGATTTCCTTCTAATTTGATTTTCTTTTCAATACCTAGCTTTTGATTAGTGTAGAACTTGAATCATTGGGTGCTTTTGGCTTTGTGCTATGGGATTCTGGATTTCTGGCATTCTTTTGGGGCTTATTTTTCAAAAATTATTGGTTGACAAGGAACAAATTCTTACAACAATACAGCTCTTTTCATTCAGTATGATGCTATTCATGCATCCACAGGTTTGACACCATGTTGCTGTTGTGAGGATTTGTTGTCACTTGTCAGTAAACATTGCCAACTCATTTTTGTTTATTTTTCATGAGTTTGGTCCCAGAGTCCAAAAATTTTCTGAATTGCTGTAAAATTTCCTTCCCCAATTTTGAGCTTGTTGATTCATGAGTGAGTTAGGTGTTTCTTTATATTCTTCTTTTATCTTTCAAGGGAAAAGGTCAAGTCATTTCCTATCGACTAGCAACACAGTTTTGTTTTTTGGGATATCTTAAAAGTAAAGTTTGAAGATGAAGTTGAGAGTTGTTTACATTTTATGATTTTGGTTTAATTGCCAAACTCAGATCTTTTGTATTTTGGTTTTACTGAACTCAGTAGTGCAATTTTGTTTTGTATTATTGTTATCAGAAATCAGTGATTTTGTATTCTGTTTGTAAGATTATTGTTTCTGTTTATGATAGTTTTGCTCTCACATTACAAATTTCAGAACTCAAAAGATGGACATGCCACTGCACTAATATGGGGGGCTTCCCCACAGTCACGATCTGATCGGAGGAAGGATCGAGTAGAGACAAATCCAGAACAGTTGGCTGCTGCATCAGCCCAAGCTGAAATATCCTTGACTTATCTTTATGGAATAGTCTATTTTTTATTTAAAAATTCTTCTGTTTTTTTACTGTAACTTCCATATTTGTGAAATATGAGAAACCAATGCCATTTCCATTGCTTGCTCTTGGTGTTTTATATATAATTATGATTCATGAATGTGTGTTAAAAGGGAAGTAGTTAGTCTGTTACATACAATTTGTTTTTTGTTATTGACAAGAGAAATATCTCAAGCTCACAAGAAGGGCGGTGGAGCAAGGGTTTGAACCCTTGCCATGATGATGTATTAGCCTTTTTACAAGGTTCAATTTGTCTTGTAGAATTTGCCTTGTTACGTGCAATTTATTATCTTGTTAGTTAGGAGTTATTCCAAACATGCTGGCCATCATATTTATCTATTTATTTTATTACAGAATTGCTTTTGTATTCTCACATTCTTTCAGTGGATACAATTTCACGTGGTGAACCAAACAACTCTTGTTACAGTAGACTCTTTATCAATATGATGCACATTCAATATGGCTTTGATTATGGGTGTCTTTTTTCACATTTCATGTTCTAAATACTTTTGTTGTGTAATTAACTTCAATACACAGAATGACCACCTCAACAGGAAGAACAACAAGAGTAATTGGGTGGTACCATTCACATCCTCATATTACAGTTCTTCCATCTCATGTTGGTAAGCATAGAGTAACTAGCACCTTCTTATTTAGCTTATTCTGCCTGTTATATTAATTAATGCTCTAGATTTTGTTGAGAGAAATACATTCAAATGTTCATTTGGTAAAATGAGCTAAGATAGGGAGAATGACATTAAACTTTGTACTGCTTCTGTGGATTGTCATCAGTGGTTAGAAAATTACTTTGCTTACGCCATCAGGGGATTCTGACTGTGAAATTAAAAGTATCATTATGGACCTTGTGATCCTCCACTGTTTTCTGCTTGTCTAATTCCTATATTGAAAAAGTTTCACTATTTTGCTTAACATTTCTAATATTGTTACCTATTTTACTTTCAAAGTTATTTGGAGTTATTAATCATTGGAATGGTTATTAAATTCCTGTAAACGCTTGAAAACTAGTCTTAAAACTTTTTCTAATTGAATAGTGCCAATTTTTAATTTTCTTATTTTATTGTTTGCTTTTGGACATTGAATTTCATATCCAACCCCCCTACCCTCTGCAGATGTGAGGACTCAAGCAATGTATCAACTTCTTGATTCTGGATTTATTGGGCTGATATTTTCTTGTTTCAGTGAAGATACAAACAAGGTCTGTGTTTGACATGGTATAAAGTAGGATGTGATGATAATTAATGGTTTTTGTTGGCCTATCTAGATTCAAAATAAAATTGGTAATTTCAGGTTGGAAGAGTTCAAGTTATTGCTTTCCAGTCCTCAGATGGGAAGCAAAGTAGCATGTCAGGCCCTGTTCCTCTGTCTCCTGTAAATAGAAGTTCAGTTATTGATGTTGAATCATCTCTAAGTTCCTCAGAGAATTCTTTGGTGAGGTCTGTATCTGCAAAAGCTGATGGCGCTGAAGAAGACACAGGCGATTCTAGATCAACCATAACTTATGCTAAGGTAAAACTTTTGGTTCTCAAAGTTGGGTTCTATCACGCACCTTCATGTGATCATTAGGGTTTCTAAATGAGCTTAAAGTTAAGGAAAACATCATCTGGTTGACAAGGCCATCATTTTTGCCTTTGGTCCAAGGTTTACTTTAAACACTTAAATTGTAGAGATTTAATTTAAAATTTGCAATTAAATTCTTTTATCATTTTATTAGGTGGTTATTAACAAAATTTCTGAGGTGAAATTAAGGGTAATAATAATCAATTATTGGACGACAATAACCAATAACCAATTGACCCTACTTTGAGTTGATGATGAATAAAACTCACAAGATATTCTTTATTTTTTTGGGTTATTCAATTATTCTAGTTATTGTTTAAAATAGTTAGAGAGTCTTAACGTGGACTTGCAAGATTAGAAAAGCTCCACGGTGTTATCGTAAGTTTGACAAGGAACCTCCAATCTTTAAGTTAGAGACTAAATTTAAGAGACAAGGAACTTAGTGTTTGTTTGCCCTAGGCCCCTTTCTTTTGAAAAGATCTTCTCTACCGAAAAAACACTATCTTGGGCTTTTCTAAAGAGCTAGAACATGAAGCTACAAATGTTTAGCTTTTGAAGTAGAGTTTTTGCTATTAAGCTTTTGAATTTGATATATATATATATTTTTTTATCATTTTTAAAAATTTTCTATGCTTATTTTTTATCAATTCATAATTCAACACTTCTACAAAAGTTCCACTCAAACAACACTTCTATAAAAGTTACAGCTAGCTTTTATCATTTTATGTCTTTATGGAATAAATAATTCTAAGAATGATAACTTTCTTATCCTTTATTCTTCTGGATGCCCCTTTAATGGTGGGAGTTGCAATATGCTATTTTAGGATTAGACAACATTTTACTGGTGGAAGGCACAATATGCTATCTTAGGATTAGACAACATTTGATGGGGGTGTTTTCAGGCAAAACATTTTTTTCTTCTGGGTTTAAAATAGTAAGGAAGCCTCACTTAGACCTACAAGAGTGCTAATTGGAAGTGATTCATTTGTCGATCAATCCTTGAAATCTTCAAGAGATGCCAACCTTTGCCATTGGCCAAGGCCAAGGTCCAATGGAGAAAGGGAAGTTATGAGGAATTTATACTAGGGCCAAAGGAACAAAGTTTCATTCTTGAGATAACCTTATTTGTTTAGACAATGAATGAGCAATTTCCTTAATTCAACCTTTGACCTAGCCATTGAAGGTTTCTTGTCAAAGCTCTCTTTGACACCTTTATCATTTTTCAATCTTATGGGCCTATGTGAGACTTATAATGACAACAACAATGATAAGGTTTATACAAGCTTTACCTGGTGGCTCTTGCCTAAATGAGGAAAAATATACATGCTTGTAACCAACCAATAGATATGTTGGTGTGTGCCTAACCCACATCTTGAATTGTGAAGCGAAAGAAAATAAAAGAATGGAGAGTGGGTTAGAGGGGAGAACTAGGGGGAGAGGGTCGAGTAGAGATAGATTGATCATGGGTGGCTAGCTAGTGCTGGCTTCTTTTTTGCCATCAAATCCTGTTGTTATTGGCTACATTCTATCATATCTTGCAATTGTGACTGGATCTATTGCACAACAGAACAAGGAAATGTTGGTATGCTATAGAAAGATGAGAGAGCAAAGAGTAAAAAGAGTGAAAGGGAGAAAGAAAATGAAAGGTCGAGAAAAGGGGAGACAGGAGGGAAAGGCAGAGATGCAAGATATGGGTTGTGGTTCATCCTTAAGCTACATGGTTTTTCCTCCGAAAGGTTCTCATGGAAGATAAGGTAAGCCCCTAGTTATTAGTCATAGCTATCCTTCACCTAGACTCTAATGTTGGAGAGAGCATCTAACATTGAATGGAAATTAAGGATAGTTGTGACTTATAAGTAGGGGCTTACCCCTTCTCCACTGAGCTTTTTTGAACAGCGGGCCAAAGCAGACAATAACTGGTGGTGAGATGTAAATCATAGTATTACATCTTGTAAATGCTGACAAGATAGGCCCAATGCCAATGTGATAATCACTATAAAGAATTTAAATTGCTTTGTGTGTAGAGGCCAATATATTGCTTTTTAGCATGACCAATAATGAGCAATTTTGATTACCTTCCTTTTAATTGAACTGATGGGAGTCCCATTGCAAATTTGTATATAGTTTTACTGCTCAATGGAAGCAAATAAAATTTTAGGACTAAGAATGCATCTATCACAAAGAAAACCTGTAGCTTCACAGGTAGATGGTTATGCTCCATAATTAGTGCAATAGAATTTGAGCAAATCAATCTGATTATCTAAACTTATTAATTTTTTTTTTTTATAAGCTTCCTGTGTTAAAGCTTCTCAAAGTTGTATATTTGATTTTTTTGCAACTACATTTGGTTCCTAAGGTTTAAGGTTTACCATATCTTTCTACATTTCTTATGGGGAATAGTATATTAAGAATTATTGTCATAATGTCAGTAGATTAAACTGTTTAGATATTACTGAAGATTTTGCTCCTTCTGGTGACATAATCTTTCTGTATTAGATAATGGTAAATTTGCTTGTTTGTTTGGTAATGGTATGGTTCAAGTGAAACTTGGGTGGGTACCTGAAATAGGGACATGTGTTTTAGATGAGCAGTGACAACCCATTAACGTGTTCATCTGTACCTGTTGCCTTTTCCATAAAACTATGCTGTACAACTCCATAGTTTCACTTCATTTTGCTTGTCACTATTTCTTCTTACAATGCTTTTGTGTATGATTGATTGGCTAGAATGGGGGACGATCTTCAAACTTGGGTGGTTTCTTTGCTAATGCTGATGCCAACTACCTAGGGAGAGATCAAAGTGGAGGAAACCATAATTCCAATAATTTAGAGGATGCCACAGTTGATATTGACCCGATGGATATGTCAGAAAGCATGCAAGAAGCAATGCACCGTTCAAATTTGGACATGAGGTATACCTGAGTATGTCCTTGATCTCTAATGGTTTATCTCTTTTGTTATGTGCCTACTCTTCTTGGATGCTTACGTTGATATTGAGATGATTGATGTTCAAACATTTTATCCAGCTTTTAACATGAATGTCATGATAGATGATATATGTTTGCAATCTTGACTGGTAAGAACAAGAAAAGTGATTTGGTTCTCATCTTGGAGATCAATTGGTTTATCCCTTTTAAAGTTGAATATGATGCAAAGTAGAGAAACTAAAGGTTGAATAGAAAGCCATTTTACAATTACTTCTCTTTCTTTCTTCAATCTAAAAGCTCCAATTTGAGGTAGTTGGGACGTAACAATGTTAGGATTATTCTATTGCACACACTTTAGATGATTGAGTTTCTATGTCAATATGACGAATTTCTTGTGAATTCTCTAAAGTGTGTATTGGGAAGTTTATTAGTTTAGTCTAAGTCTGTTGATAGACTGACAGCGGTCTAGCTGAGGAAAGCTTAAAGCTGGAATGGACCATTGGAAGAAGGGCAAATAAACAGAAATAAGTCAGGTTGAGAATTTGCAAAGCGTATGTCAATATTCTAAATTTGAGTGGTAAAATCTTTTGCCACATCCTTGTGATTCTTCAAGCCATAAGAACAGTTCCTTTAGCAACTTTATGGTTTCTATGTTGTTGAGATAACAGAAAGAAAGAATGACCAAGAGTGAAAGAGTAAAAGTTTCCACTGTGGGAAAGAATCATGGATTCATAAGAAATTAAGCATGATAGTATAGATTGTAATTGTATACAACTAACAGTAGAAGTCCTATGACATAGGAGTATTTCAATTAAACCTCCAACTCTCTGAGACTTATATCAATTAATGATTGCTATGAAGCTGTAGTGATGTCAACTTTTCATGAGTTGAGGGAGTACATCTCTTCAAGTCCCTGAGTTTATAATGCAGAGGAAAGAAATTTGTTCACTTTTTGTCACCAATGCAGACATCGGTGACTTAGTGCCCCTTATACCTTCGTCTATGTAATCTCCTTTGTAAGCCTTGGTGTTTTAAGAACATGTTCTTTGCAAGGAGAGGACTAGAATATCTCTTGTTGCTCAGTGTGAATTTATGAAGTGATGGCATTAGTATTGACTATTGAGGCAGTGTTTTTGCTCTCTTTCCTTATGTATCATTAAGTGTGTCAGTCCCATGTCAATCAAGGACTGAAATATAATATAGGCCACTCCATCTATTTCCAATTGGTTTTAGCCTTTAGATTTGATTGATCACATGGTATAAGGGCTAACACCCCATTTTGTCAAGCCTGTTTGTTTTTAGACCACATGATGGACCCAAAGTTTATCTCAGGCCTGCATGTGAAAGAGCATGTTAAGTAGTGAAAATCTCGAATCGATAAATTAAGGGGAGACGTGGAATTAAATACAATCTAGGCCATCCCACCTATTGCCAATTGATTTTAGGTTGTATGCTCAAATGATATTAGAGCCCAAATTTCTTTTTCTGTCAAGCCCATTGGCCCATGTGGCAGGACAAGACCCAAAATTGATAATGGGCTGCACATGAACGGTTGTGTCAAGCGGCAGTATCCCACATTGGTCAGTTAAGGAGAAACATGATTGTTAGGTTGGATGTCTATATGTTTTTGGTTTGTCTAGCATCAGTTATTGTTCTGGCTCTCCTGATTCTTATAGGATTTGGCTTGGGTGTTAATGGTTGTGGTTTACGTGTATAAGGATCTGAAAGTTCTTTCTCTTTATCTTTGCCATCATTTTATACTTAGCAAAAAGGCAAAATCAACTAATATTTCTCAAAATTGTCTTTCATCCTGACCATGTGTCATTTGTTAATTGTTGCCTCTGCTGTTAGTTCTTAATTTTTTCATGACTAACATGTGTTAAAGTTTGCTCATTTGTCTTTGATTTGTTGCGCTAGTAGATTATTTAAATGAATCTATCCATTGGGAATTTGGCATCATTTTGTTCACACATATATACTTATCTAGGTCTGCATACATTTGCTTATATATTTCTAGTGTATTTCAACCATGTCTTATCCTCTCTGGAGTTTGCATAAAAACAGCAGTTTAACTTGAGATCCTCAAATTGGCTTTATGTTCCCTGGCAGTGGTGCAGAGTTTGTAAGGAAAGAAATTCCTCTTCACGTTTTGCCTACATCCTTTCTTTTGAAGCTTGATTCTCCATTAACTTCATTTATGGATTTGCAACGTGTACTTTTTGAAGAAGAGCAGGCAGCATACAATCAAGCCATCTTGCAAAATATGAGGTATTCATATTATAAGAGGTATTCATATTATAAGCCTACACTTCTATCCAGAAAATAAAAATAAAGTAATATGCTTTTGCCATCAATTTTTCTTTTGTGATTTCATTCTTGACTTATAATTTATACTGACTTAGTGCTATTTGACCAGGGATGGGAAAGTGCATCCCCTTACTTTCATTCATCATACTTCAACGTATCAGGCTTCTATGTGCAAATTAATTGAATATTGGTTAGAAACAGATACCCTCCACTTTTATTTATACATGCTTGTCTTTGTGTCATTATTATTTACATTCTTTTTTCTTCCCAATAATACAGCTTAAGTCCTGCCATCAATGCACTTCAGGGTCGGTTGAAAGAGAATGAAATCCGGGTATGTTTGAAGTTATATACAGTCTTGTAGCAAGCTTTATCAATTTCAATAAATTTGGAGAGCAATGAAATTCACTTGACCCCCTCACTGTTATTTCTATGCATCTGAGTCTCCATACTTTGAATTGTCTCTTTTTATCAATTTTGTTAAGGCCAGTTCTGTTTACCTTCTTGTATATATCCTAATCTGACCCCATCTTTTTTATGCATGGCATCTATGTTGACCTAACAATTAATGTATGAATATCAGTTTTGTAAAAAGTGTGTCTAGGTGCTAGGAGGCTGGCCATCCTCTTGCCTAGCCATTAGGCAGTGGAACTGGAAGTTCGGCTCTGCCTGGAGTGTCTAATCATTTTTTTTCATTATTATTTCTGTGAAAATTTGATATGTGGGCCAACACACAAGACTTGCATCTAACCTAGAACAAATTGGTAATAGGTGGAATCTTGTGTTTTAGCCACATGTTTCTTTTTTATATCTTCAACGTAGGATTTTCCTACTCAATATTTTCTTTCCATTTTCTTTTTTTTTTTTTTTTCCAAAAAAAAAAAGAAAAAAAGAAAAATGCCTAGGTGTGTCTAGGCATCAGCATCTAGGTGGTATGGTAATGGCTGACCATCCATGTAGTGCTTTCTGCAACACTGTATGATATGATTGGTTCTATATATTTGTCCATGAATTCACAATTAAATCAATATCATAACCATATATGATTGATTAGATCCCTCTCTGTTCTTTCTTATATTATTAAACTCCTGGTATAAAATATTCTCTGAGAATGACCAAATTTTGTTACAATAGTTAGCAATGTTGACTGATGAAGCCAAGATTTTGGAGACTGAAGCCTTCAAGGGAAGTGGACCAAGTTCTCCTCATTATGGTTCATCATCTCATGGAATCAGAGGAAGTGCTTTGGTTGCCCACAGGGACATAAATAATTTAGCTGAGCCAGTCAGTATGAGGACGTCTGCCGGTTCTGGGAGCCGAAGCCGAAAACGGTCTTAGTAAAAACTTTGAATCAATCCCATTCTACTCAGTAAGTGATTTATCCAGCTGTACTCTAATTCCTGTTTGTTCTTTTATCCTTTTTCTTTGATAATTAGTGCTATTCTTTTTGGTCACTACAATGATATTAGTGCTATCCAGAGAATGTTAGATATAAGGAGATGCAGTCGTTGTTCTTTTAGTTTTGTTCAACTCATCCACTAGGTCTAGCTTTAGGATTGAGATACCACTTCTTTACCAGTATTCTGAATAAATATTGGAATTCTTTACAAATAGCTAGTATGTGTTAAACATTGTTCCGAATGTCACCACCTAATATTGGTACCTGTTTTCTTTCTGACTTCTTTGTTATAGGTTCATTGCGTCTTTTGGTATTATCCAAGGAACTTCTACTACTAGGTTGCCTCCGCCAGCTTTTAGAATTCCAAGGGGAAGCATTTGCAATTCGTTCCTTTTGATAATTGTTGCCTTCATGGTCTCTACTAAAGGAGGAAGATTCCTTGGTAGAAACTAGAAAAGCAGTGATGGGTGGAATCCTTGAATAAATGCATGTCATTGTTAATATACCTCCTTGTTTCCATTTCATCATGCCTCCTTGATGTTAGATGCCCTATGGCAGCAGTTACTAGTTTAGTAGAGTTGTGCTCCGTGTCCTGCACATTTTAGTCTACTTGCTCCAATGTAATCGTCATACTTTTTGAACTATACTTGTTTCTACTAGATAAATGCGCACCCGTGCCGTGCTTTGAATCTTGTGGGGGTGACATTTCTGCCAAAACCTAATGGTGAGCACTGGGAATGGATATATCAGTTATATATAAGTATTTTATTTATTTAGGTAAATATCAGATTTGAATTGTACTAAAAATGAATAAATAATAAGTATGAAAATAATATATTTATTAAGTATCAAGTTAAATAATAAATATAAGTGTTTATAATTATTTATTTGACTTATTTAATTGATTTAATTAACTTGTTATTTATGTTTATATAATAAAAATTTTATGTGTACTTATTATATTTAATATTTATAGAATAATTATAATTTTTAAAAATAAAAATAATAAAATATAAAAATAAAAATAGAAGTTAAGTAAACTTATGAACCAAATAAATTGCACACGCTAATAACAATTTGTATGAATAATAAAGGTTAAATCAAACAATAACACATGTAATAATAGTATTTTGTGCTAGATCTTTTCCCTTTTTTAGTCAAGTATATAAGTATACACTTATGAGTTACTTAATATTTGTTAGGTTAAATACTAAGTATAAGTTATTGAATATTTAAGTAAATACCAAATTTAAAAAGATGTATTCAAATTTTTAAATCAAGTATTAAATATGACTTATTCCTCACCTATATCAAAATCTGTACACCCCTACCAAGCAAAACCATATGCACGTTGAACCGGTTTTCGGCTCTAATGGTTTGTTCTAAATTTTAAATGTTTGAGTGTAATTGATTGAGAGTTCGACTCTTATTATCAACTTGAAAAAGAAAAATCCCCCTCCTCCAAATTCCCCCATGTTAAAAAAGAAAAAAAGAAAAAAAAATTTAAGTGTTTGGTTGTAATTGGTTGAAAGTTCGACTCCTATTATTTACTTGAAAAAGAAAAATCCCCTTCCTCCAAACTCCCCTATGTTAAAAAAAAAAAAAACACACCATGTGCATGTTTTACCCATTATGGGCCAGATATGGATAAGAGATTTCTACTCATGGGTTGGGGAAGGGCAACGCCTTATCCTAGCTTTGCTCTACTCATTTATCAAATTAATTAATAATATATTAAAATATTATTAAAAAAATTAAATTAATAACTAAATAGCGGTTAAGTTCTTTTCATTCTTATTTCAATTTGTAGCATACTAAATTTATACCATTATCTATTTGGAATACTAACCTAAAACATCATATAACTTTTGTGATTTTAATTCTACTTAAATCATCTCTTTTTATATTGACCAATCATTTTTTTGCTTACAATTTTCAATGAGTTTGATCTAAGATTCTTATTTCATTGACTATATCCATTATTATTGCATATGCCAAATTTTGTATCAATAACAATTTCATTTTAATTCCATCCTCCTAAGAGAACTACAATTTATAGAGATTTTATCATTATATATAATTTCAACAATTTCATTGTTTTCAAGTACTTGAACCATTTCTTAGGGACTTTTCCTCAATAACTTTTTAAGAGTTTTATGATTTTAGCAGTACTAACATTTTACTTATATTTTTTTTTTCATTTTTGGATTTTTATCTTTAGAACCATTTGTTCTAACATGCTTTTAGTGTTAGCATATTGTACTCATTTGCTAATAGTTTAGCAATTTTTTAATAGGAATATCAATGTAAGCATGAATAATTAAAGTTTAGATATATGATATACTTTCATTTCATCAATAGATGCATCCAACAAGTGATAATACACAACTTTATAATTCAAATTCGTATCAACTTATTTAAAGATCTTATAAGATGCATTTTAAGTTATCTTTTGCATTCCCAATATTTTTCTCTCCCCTTGATGTTAGAAACATAATTTCTTTAGATAAACAATCAACAAATTTTGTTGTAAAAGATCCATAGTCATTTTATATAAATTCTCAGCCTTTTTTTGGATTATCAAGGCTGATATAATCAAAACAATATTTCATGTTGGTTAGGGGATTATTTTGTAATCTTCATATTCAAGTATGTATTAATGTCATAATATATCAAAATATTTCAAATAATTGAGTATAAGCTTCTATATTTGCCCAAATCTAACATAATAATAATGAAAATTAAATTTCAATTGTATTTCTAAAAGGTTTGGTAATCATATTCTTAGGGGAATGCAACGGATGAAAAATCATTTGATGGCCAAATCACTTAGGCCCCAATCATTCTAGGATTAGCTAACTTTTGGTTAGTTCCAATGTTTGATCATATTAGATTTATGTTTGTAATTTACAAGAGAAAGTTTTTAAAATATGTACCTTTTGGCCACATAAGAGAGGTGACATAGGGGACATTTTCTATTATTCTCATTCATGATTTCAATATGATAACCATCATATGTTTGTATTTTTAAAGTTCAGTAGATTTTAATATAATTGATTAAAACATAGTTACATAAAAATTTTGTTTTTTGAAACTACAAAATTCAAGCTTTTCAAGAGCCTTCAATAATAAACTTGAGCTCTTCAACAATATTCAAGCTCTTCAAGAGCTTTTAATAGTAAACAATATCCAAGCTCTTTGGACTTTTTAACCAAGTTTGTAACATAAAATATCATATTAGCTTTAGGCTATGTGCAAGTGGGGAAATTATTTTTCTTTATAATTTTGAGATATATCACCATGGCATAACCTTTTGCAAGTAAAAAATGGCATACAATTTTTCAAGTTTTATTCTCCACCATTATATATCTTGTATAATATGGGTACATGTATGCAACATTTTGTTTATCACAGAAGAACCATTATTCCTTCATTGTGTGATAGCAATATTTTACAAAATTTCAATTTTTCATCTTTGATTTCACTAATTAATAGTAAGGCTGCCTTTTTCTAAAATATTTTTCTATCAATATGTGACCTCCATATTGAAAGATATTAGATAAGATTAATGTGAATATTAAAATTTGAAATATAAATTCTCCATATGAGAAATATTATTATAAAATTCAGATCCAATTATTGATGCATTTTTGCATTTCTTTTTCTCATTGGAAATGAATTATTATTAAGAAGATTTGATCTCAAAGAATTCTTCTTTTAATTCATAATCCCCACATTGGGATGTGTATTTAATTTCTCAAATGTTTGAGATACTTTTCTCCAATATTTTCAAAATGGATACAAGAAATCCAAGTTTAAAATAAAATTGTGTATCACAATTATTATAAGTATATATCCACAATATTATTTTCGACAAGAATATGTTTTTGCATCTTTTCCTTTTCATTTAGTAAAACATGCAACAAATCAAGCAAATACTTGGAGATGTACAACAAGTACATGAATTGCTTGAATATATTAAAAATATGTGATCAACATTCATTCATGTCACAGCCATATAAGAATTCTCAGATTCCTTACTAATTTTGCATAATTTTATTCATAGTATCATTTTCACAACCATATTCATAATAATTATTACAATACGATATCACATTCTTTTCAAGGTATTGAATCAAATTGATGGTGGTGATGAAAATTCATGATTTTGTTGGCAATAAAAAGACATACATTTACTTTGAATATGCATGTTAAAATTGCTCTCTCGAGATTGCTTTTACCAAAGCATATTTGAGGTATGAAAAGACAAATGTATCTTCTCTAATATATTTTCATCCATCAATAATAATTTTTTCTGCATGAAATAATTCAAAATATTTGCGGATTGATACTCAAATAATGAATGAATTCATTCATAGCTATCTTTTGGAAGAATTGCAATTTTCTTTTTGATGTTCGTCTTTCTTCCAAAAAATTTCGTAATTCCAATGAATCATTCATCATCAAATATTCATCTTTTAGTCCTTTTTGGACTTCATAATGAAGAAATATTATTTTATCGCAATCCTTCAAGGATTTTTTTTTTTCTTCAAGAATATATTTTTTTTCTTTTAAAGATACTTTATTCCCTTCCACAATTGAATCTTCAAGATTCATTAGAGGTGAATGAATTTTCACATCAGGAGTTCATGAAAAATAATTGGATCTCAACCTAGCAAGGGCAATGAACTCAAATTCTTTTGACAAGTGCAAAATATCATGTAGACAAGAAAATTGCTATAATACCATAGAATATTCAAATTAGAAACAAAAAAATTGAAAGACAAATTTCCCTTAAAATCTTCCCTTAAAACTTTACCTCAACTTAGATCTTTACCTCAAATAGGATTTATAAATAGTAATTCATATAGAGACAAGTTGTACTGATAACATATTGTAAAATAAAGTAAAAAACAATAAGAAGAAGAAGAAAAAATAGAGAGACAAAGTGAGGCGATGCAAAGATGTATTATATTTCTACTCCTTTCTTCACCATACATTTACAAGAGTATAAGTCCTATATATAGGGGTCAATGGATGATAGAAGTTATAAGGAATAAACACTCACCAAATGGGAGGTTATAAGGATTAGTCTCCTACTAATGGAGAGGTCATAAGGAATCTCATTATTACCATTTAAATGTATAGCATTATTCAGTGTTAATCACTATTATAATTGCATGGAGGTAGCACCATTTCTTGGTTTGTAAATGCCATGGAAAGTGGGGAGATGAGAAAATGAGGAAGATGAAAGATCCACAATAAATTGTTCATAACAATGAGTAAGATTTTTCCTTAGATTTCGTTATATTACAAATTATTTTTGTTGCATGTCACGTTTTTCATTAAACTTAGTAGTGGAGGCCACAAAAAAAAAAATAACTTATTAAATTTCTTATAATTATTTATAGTTACTTTTGAAATTTTGAAAATTTTAATTTTACAAGTGTAAAACTAATTAAAAAAATATAATATAATGGTTAAAACATTACTTAATTGCTTATTACCTAAAGGGTCAAGTTAAAAGTAATGTATATTATTACGTGAAAAGGAATGAGTCAAATAGACAAAAAAAACAAAAAAAATTACACAAATGGTATAGGTATAAGTAAGGGTTATGCATTACTCAACAGGTTGCCATTCCTATGTAAACATGGAAGCTACCTGTAGAACAAAGGTTAAATGTTAATTTTAGTCCCTCAACTTTAGGGTTTTTGTACAATCCTTTAACTTTTTTATATATTTTTTTCCTCCTTAAAGTACGAAAAATACATTTTTTTAGTCATATCATTAGTTAGTCCATTAAATTTGTCTATTTTTGCACATTTTAGTCTCTCAACCTTAAGATTTTGCAGAATTTTCATCCCTCAATTTAATAGTTCAAGAACTAAAAATATGTATATGTGGATATACTTAACAAACTAACTAATGAATTATTAAAAAAAAATGCATTTTTCATGATTGTGAGACCAAAAAAGCGCATATAAGGGTTAAGAGACTAAAACCGTGCAAAAACCTAAAGTTGAGGGATTAAAATTGACATTTAACTTAAAACAAAAGAATAGTAACAGAAAGGGTTAGCATGAGATTAAATCTTATTAACAACTCACTATTTTCTAATCATTTAGAAACAAAAAGAAAATTCTCTTCTCCTTTGATATTCATTAAATTTAATGATTAGTTTTTCAAAATATTCCTTGAAAGATGATGTCTTTGAAATTGAGACTCTAATTTTTTGGAGAGTCAAAATTAATATATACTACTCTCGATTGAAATGATAGTATTTAATATCTTTAAAATAAAATGTGAGATAACTAATTTAGATCACCTCTCTTTCTAGTAAGTGGAAGAATTAAATCAAACTGAAAAGAGTGCTTTTTATTTTAGATTGCTATAAAAGTATTGCCATATCCTTAATAAATCTTCTTTGTAACTTGATTCAATAAGATAAAATTGAGAAATTTAATTTATAACTTAGAAATTGGTAAAGCTTGAGGGTGGCAAGAGGTTACGGTGTTTCAAGATAGCTCAAGAGTAGCTTGAGGTTGAGGTCTAGGATGTTTCAGGGCAGCCTCAGGGTAACTTGGGGCTGAGGTAGTTTAAGACAACTCAAAGTTGACCTAGGGGTTCATGGTGGTTAAGTCTAGTCTAGGTAACTCGGGTGACTTAAGGTCCTCAATGGTCTAGGGTGGTTTAGGAAATGGTTATGAGATCTTCATGTCTTGTTTAGGATATGACAATGTTTTAAAATCCGGCCTGGTCATCGACCCGTTTTTGTCACCAAATCTAGTTCAACCGATTGAATAAGTTTGACCAAATAAGCTAACCAGTCAACTTAATAAATGTCATTTAATTCATTTTATCAATTATAAATTATTTTTACTTTAATTGATTTTATTTAAAAATTGATTGAAACCATTTTTATATTTATTGATCAAAGTAATTATTAATTTTTAAGACTTTATTTTGAAAATTTATTAATTTGAAATTAATTTCATTCATTAAATTTATTAAAATACGTAATATATTTTTTTAATA